GCCAGGAGGAGGCACCCCCAGGTTTCTCTTGTTCACCCCTGGAGTTTCACTTCCTCCCTTTTAAGCTCACACGTTGAATTAATGAATGATCAAATGAAGGAATGCTCCTTCACAGCAGTCTTCCATGTCATTCTGCTTGTCCCAGGGCTGACCCTGGTGGTTTTAAATTGCAGGTAACTGCCTACTGTCAAGATCTCATTATACCTGTTGTAGATGTTTCCTAAAGCTGAAGCCATTCTCTCTGCCTCCAGAGCTGTTTGAAGACTGGAGGCAAACCAGCATGAGTCTGATTTTAACACAGGAAAAGAGAATAGATTTGGCAAGTTATAGATCAAGGAACTTGGTGCTGATTTGGGGCAGAATTCTGAAACAAATTACTAAGTGTATTATTAAATATACAGGGCCTATTTGGCACCTAACAAGTGTTTTTGTTTTTTAAATGCATTAGAAATAAATATCTGTGAGCACTTAGAAAGATGTTAATCAACATGAGTCATTATTGATTAAAAATACAACAGGTTATTTTTGCAGTTTGGGACATCATGGTGATATTTTTATTTTATTTTATTTTATTAACTTTTAATTTTTTATTTTAAAGATGTGGGGTACAATTCAAGGTTAGGTATACAAATATTAATTATGCAGGTACCCTTGTTGATGAGGTGTGCCTCCCTTCTCCAGGCAGATTCTCACTACTGCCAGTCCCACCTCCCCGCCCCCCCACCCACCTGCAATTTCCCACTACTGCCAATCCTTTTCTTATAGTATTATGAAAGTTGTTCAAGGTCTGCTTATGAGTGAGAACATGTGATACTCGGTTCTTTGTTTCTTTGAAAGATCACTAAGTCTGTCCATGTTGCTGTGAAGCTCATGATTTTGTTCTTTATGGCTGCATAATATTCCATCATGTATATGTACCCCATTTTTTAAATCCAGTTCTCTTTTGATGGGCAGCATGGTTGGTTCAATATTCTTGCTATTGTGTACAATGCTGCGGTAAACATACTTGTGCAGGTATCTTTTTTATAGAGTGATTTGAGTTCTTCCGAGTATATTCCCAGTAGGGGAATTGCGGGGTCATATGGAAGGTTGATTTTTAGAACTTTTACCCACACTGTTTTCCACAAAGGCTATACTAGTTTACACTCTCACCAGCAGTGTTCCCTTTTTTCCACATCCTCTCCAGTATCTGTTATTTTTTGAGTTATTGATGATGGCCATCCTGACTGGAGTTAGGTGGTATCTCAGTTTGATTTTAATTAGCATTTCTTTGATGACTAGTGAGGCTGAGCATTTTTTCCTGTATCTGTTGGCCGTATATCTTCCTTTGAGAACTGTCTATTCATATCTTTTGCCCACTTTGTAATGGGGCTGTTTGTTTTTTTCTTTTTAGCATGCTTGAGTTCATGGTGATATTTTGATAAGCTCTCATTTACCCCTCCTATATTGGAGTTTTGTACACATAAGGAAGATAAAGATATAGAAAACAGAAGATCAAGGTATTTAAATATGAGAAACTGTCCTAAACATATCACCATCCATCAATAATGCAAAGCTCTCTTACGAAAGCATGACTGGACAATAAAGTTTAGACGTAAGGCTTAAGTGAATTTGATTTCCTAGTGTAACATGGTAACCTCAAGTCTGAGAGGGCTTGTATGTAAGGTTCACCTATTCCAAAAAGTCATGCGGAGATCCAACAGGGAGAGACATTGGTTTATACCCGCCTGGGCAACTTGGCGAGACCTCATCTCTATAATAAATAAAAAATTAGCTGGGCGTGGTAGTGCACACCTGTAGTTCCAACTACTTGGAAGGCTGAAGCGAAAGGATCACTGGAACTCAGCAGGTCGAGGCTGCGATGGCCGGGAGTGGCCACTGCACTCCAGTCTGGGCGACAGAGTGAGACTCCAACTCAAAAACAAAAACAAAAAAATAAAAAAAACTTACAGAGGCTGGTTGTGACTGGTCAGTGAAGAATTTATGCCTTGAAACAGTACAGCAAGCATTCTTATAATCAAAGCAAGCAAGTTAATTCTTCAAATTCTAATACAATACTTACAATTATACCAATTAAGCGTGATTACTACATTATCTTTAGGTTTGCTTGGTCACCTGTATCCAGTGACTCATTATTGGGAATATACGTATCCTTCAGAGACCAGCCTTGGCCAGAGGTCGCTCCCTGAGCAGGGGGAAGAAAGAAGCCAGGTATGGGGAAAACAGTCTATGTCCTGACAGTGCTTCATGCCTAGTCATCTGTCCCTACCCTGCTCTCTTTTCTCCCATCTGAAACTAAGAAACTAAGATCAACAGAAAAGATCCTGAGTCCATCTCCCTGACCACTCCAGGTGTGGATGAGACAGAGAGTTCGGGCCCTGCCCAAATGTGATTACTAGGGATGCAAATGAAGGGCTGCACTTGATTCTGTTCCTTACCATGAAATGATCTCCATCGCTGCTAAAGTATGGTCTAATGACTGGAAGGGTCCAGGCTGAGAAGGGATGGTGATACTAGCTATTTCCCCCACTATGAGTGAAAAGAGGGAGCATATGATGTGCTTTTTGGGGGGGAATCTGTTAAGATGACTTGCCATTAGAAAACTGTTGTAGATAATAATAGCAAGCTAACATCGAGTGCTTCTGTGTCTAGCCCTGTTCTAAGAACTACACATGAATTAATTCATTTAATCTTCACTCAACTCAATCATGCAGGTATGGTTTTAATCCCATTAGTTAAGTATCTCGCATAGGGTAATGCAACTAGTACATGGCAATACTGGGATTTATACCCAACAACTAGGTCCAGAGATGGAGCCCTTATACATGATAACACCACCCTGTCTACTCTATTGTGCCCACTGCTGACCACCAGCTAAGCCCAGGGAGAAGGTGGATTTCTCTAGGACACTTGACAACACTTCTAAGATGTCTTTATGAATACAACAAAAAAATGAGGTTTGGCAATTGCACTGTTAAGAGGATTATTAATAATTGAATGAACCAGTGAACCAAAGAATGTTATTCCCTCAAAATAGCAGAGGGAGCCCCTTAGTGAGGTGTTATATAGTATCCTAGGATTTTTATCTGATCTGTGGATACAGGGAGACACTGAATGCCTGAATCAAATCCAAAGAGACTTAGAGAGAGTGGACCAGAGTCTTTGGTCCTAAAGATAGCTCCATGAATGAGCCCAGACATGCCTAACAGTAACATAGCAAATAATTTCCAGTCTTCCCCTTCCACTTTGATCAACATTGAGATGTATTTAAAAAAAAAAAAGTGGTAAGATCTCAGTTGGTATTGTGTTTGTTAATGGTTAATTTATAAGACAGCTCTCTCTCTCTCTTTCTTTTTTGGCAGAGACAGGTACCCCTCAAAGGGAAGATGGCTGAGAGAGATTTGAAACCGTATCACAAGAGGAGTCAGAGCAACTAAAGATGTTTAATCCTGAGAAGAGAATGTTTAGGTTGAACTTGAGAGCTACCTTCAATGATCTGAAAGGTTATCTCATGGAGGAAGGATGTGGCAGACCTGGGACCCAAGATCACAGGGAGGTAGATTTGCATAATGCTGCACAAAGAGGGAACAATTATGATAGCGAACATTTACTGCATGCTCATGAGGCATGCACTAAAGTTAAGGTCTTTTTATGCCTTAGCTAGACAGTTATAGATCAACTTCATACTTATCACTACAAGTATCTCCTAGCAATGTTAGTAAAAGCTCCATTTACTGACTCTTATGAAATTACCTCATTTAATAGTTGCCCTGTTGACTTTTATTATTATATCATTACTGCTTTATAGATGAGGAAATAGAGAAGTTAAGTTACTTTCCTGGAATCACCCTGTTTTAAGTTACTGGCTTATAGCTTCTGGACCCAGTTATTCTTGCTACTCATATTACCTCCCAGAGTTATGCATATAATAAGGGGTTAGACTAGGGCTGTTCATTAGGAATATAATGTGAGCCTCTAATGAGAGCCTTATGTTATCTATGTAACCTTATATTATCTAGTAGTACATTAAAAAAATGTAAAAAGAAACTGGTAAAATTAATTTTAATTACATATATGTTTCTATCTTAACCCAATACTCTAACCCAATTGACTTGTTACATCAAACTAGTATTACTGATTGAAATAATGTAATCAGTAAAAGATAATTAACAAGCTTCTTTACATTCTGTTTTTAAAACTATTTTACACTTACAGAGCATCCCAGGGCTAGTCAACAGGCACTTGTGGCTCTGGGCTGCTGATGGACAACCAGCATAGGGTTAAAATGGAAATATCCTGGGGGAGGGAGGTAGGATCTTGAAAGAAAGCTTTGCTGGCTACCTTTAATTCTGATGCCTCCCTGCCCCAATTTATCTCCTTTGCCAGTTAGAAGGTAATATGTAGTAACTGCCTCTGCGTTTCCAGTGGAGCCAATGTAGATATTTATGAATTCGGAGAGGGCAGGTGTTTCTCCTGCAACCTTCCAACAACTGTCGTCTCTCTCCTACCAGCTAGGCTAGAAGTAAACATGTTTGATTTCTGCTTTGAAAATGATCGAAGGAGGTTATAAGAATTAAGTTACTCATCCTAAATATCAAACTGGGGGTAGCACATCTTGCTTTATGCAAAGTTATGCAAAATTAGGGAGTCCTTGGCTTTAATTGTTTAGAAGTGAATCTTGTAGTTTCAACTGCAGGGTCAGTGAATACACAGAAGACGACGCAGAGGGAGGAAACGTTCTGTTATTTTTGCCACTCTGTCCAGGAGTAGAGGCACGGCGACAAAACAAATACAACAGCCTCTTAAAGTAGTTTTAAAACAGCCCACCGAAGTTTCCCCTTGAAATCCGGAACCAGTTGCCAAAAATGAAAAAAAAAATATGTTAAAAAAAAAAAAAAAATTGCCACGCGCATTTGGCCTCCCGGAGGTGGCGCTATGAGGGTGACGGAGTTAATAAGTGCCTGCAAAACGCTATGTGTGAGCTCATCGAAGTCATGCTCTGCACACATATTATTTATAGCAGATCTGGGGCGTGCACGGTGTTTGATATTTTCCTCTTTTTAAGTAGAGGGACTTCGAAAAGTCGTAGGCACCCTCCTTGCCCCCTCCACTCCCTCCCAACCCCCAGTCAAAGTGCAGTGAGCAGGAACCCGCGTGCGGGCGCGAGGCGAACGCACCAACCACGCGTGTCCGGGCGCAGGTGCCGGGGGCGGCGGCAACTCCGCAGCGTCCGCTCGGGAGGAGAGTTCGCGGCTGATCTCGGGATGCCTTGCAGATGCAAAATGTGTCTCTGGCCAGCAGGAGGAAGGAAGAGGAAGTGAGAGCAGCGGCAGCCGGCGGCGCAGCAGCCGGCCGACCCAGAGTGTAAGTGCGTGTGCTCGGGCGAGCGGGAGCGGGCGAGGATGGGCACGGGATTGAGGCAGAGCCACCCACACTGCCGTGGACCCGAGTCGGGCGACAGAGCCGCCAGCCTCCCTCAGTGCTCGCGGGTCGCCAGAGCTCTGGTCGCTGGGAACCCTCGCCGCCGCTGTCCTGCGACCCCAAGCAGGTTCGTAAAGTTTCCTGGGCTGGCGCCGCGCCCCCGACTCGCTGACCTCAGCGCGGCCGGGGAGGGGACTGGGACTGGGGCCGGGGGGAGGTGTCCTGCTCCGGGGGACTCTCCGTCGGGCGCCGCGGAGACACTTTTGTTTCCTCCCTGGGGGCGCCGCGGTTCGGGCGGAGGTGGCCGCCGCGTTCGGCGGGGCGAAGGCTGCGGGCGCGTCGGGGCGCCCTGCAGTTGGGGAAGTCTGGGCGGAGGGGGGCGGCGGGAGTGGGAGAGGAGGGAGGGGCGCTGGAGGTGCGGCGCCCGGGGATGGAGCGCAGGGCCGGGGGCCGGGAGCCCACCGAGACGTTTCGAACAGGGTGGGCGGGAGGGGGGCGCCTGAGGGCTGCGATGCAGGCGCGGAGGTGTTGGGGACAGGGAAGTGTGGGGCTGGGATCTTGGAGTCAAGATTCTTAGGGCCAGTCAGAGACCCGGCTGGCGGCTCAGATTCCGGGATTTTCTCCCGCACTAGCAGATGGAAGGGAATCCCCCGGCGAGCGGGCTCCGGGGAGGGGGCGGTGATGGGCAAGAAGGATGGGGGCCTGGAGGGACACGAGGGGGCGGTCTGGACAGCTGGGGGCCCCGAAGGCGAAGGTTAGTAAATACCCTCCTCCAGAGGACACGCCGAGGTTCCCGCTGAAACTGGGGAGGGCGATGGGGGGTTTCGTGGATCCGGCTTCGGAGAGGGGACGCACCGGCGCGCCTTCAGGGAAAGGGGCGGCGGCGCGCGGGGGCCGGGGAATCCGAGCGCAGAAGGGCGACCGCGATCGCGCGAGTTGCTTTGAGGAAGAGGAAATACAGAACTCAGCCGGCCCGGGTTGCGCGCTCGTGTGTTTGGGGTTGGGAGGTCCGTGCTGTGCCGCGGGCGCGCGCGAGGCGGCG